TTGATCTAAATATTAAAAATATAAAATATATATCTATAAAACTTGTAGAACAAAACACAGAGGAATATCTTCATGACCTATGGTTACCCAAATAGTTCCTAGATGTGACACTAAAAACATGGTTCACAAAAGAAAAAAATTAATAAATTTCACTTCCTCATAATTAATAACTTTTGGCTGGCAAAAGATTGTGTACAAGTACAAGATGAGTACATGCTAGGCAAAAATATTTGCAAACCATATATCTGCTAAAAGACTTGTATTCAGAATGTATGAAGAACACTCAAAATTCAATAGAAAGAAAACATACAACTCAGCTTTTTTTAATGAACAGAGGACTTGAACACTTTAGCAAACGGCATATACAGAGTATCTTAGTCATTTTTTCATCTCTGGGACAAAATATCTGCCATTCAAAACTTCAAGGAGAAAGGAGGAGAGTTTATTTTGGCTCACGTTTCAATCTATAGTTAGCTGGCTCAAAGGTATGATGGCATAGCACACTGACAATTTGGAGGAAAACCTGCACCACCATGGCAGCCAGGAAACACAGTCAGTCAAAGAAGGAGCTGAGAAGGGAGATAAACCCTTCCAGACAATGTCTCCAATGACCTGTTTTCTCCAACCATACCCTGCCTCCCAACACCAATCCAGCTATACCACCCTCATAACCCAATCACCTTCCAAACACATGAGGCTTTGTGGCCCATTTTATTTTTTTCCATTAAGTTTATTGGTACATTTTAGGTATACAATATGGTTACGTTCATCATTGAGATCTGGTACCTTTACATGATGTATCTTGGTTCTTATTTTTTCCCCATTCCCCTGCTCTCCCTTCACCCCCTCCACCCTTCCCTATTTACAAAGACTTTGTTTCCACTTTTTTCCTTTTTTCATATTTTTTCTTTTCCCTTCTTTCCTTTCCCCTACCCCTCCCACTTCCCCTACTCTTTTAGACCTTTTCTCCCTATTACACATTATCAATTATACATTTTGATCCTTATTTACACTTTTAGTTTTTCACACCAGAGAAACTATTCAGTATTTACACATGTGTGTCCTATTTA